CACACATACACACACACACACACACAGACACTCACACACTCACTCACTCAATATTTTTCCTTTCTTTGACTCCCAAGGTCAGGAAACAACAGATCTGTGAGAACGTCCATCCACCAGTCACAGAAGGGCGTTTATTTAAAGATCCTCGTTGGACCCAGCATACCTGGACCAGGCCTCGTTCGTGTCTTTCCGCCTGGTATAATTATTAAGAGCACCTACGTTCATCTTGAGCATGTCCTTGTTTGCATGATAAACTACATAGTTGGCCTTAATAAGGGGCAGCTGAATAAATAAAATCCAAACGTTACCTAAACAAAATGTGGAGCATCTGATCTTGGAGGAAGCCGTCTAAGGTTAAAAGACAGTCAGCGGAAGACGCGAATATTTGGTTTGGAACAGGAGCCAGACGGGTCGGGTGGGCTGGGCGACACTTCTCAGCAGTACTGGGTGGGGGCTGTCCATGTCGCCGGGTCTGATTCTCCAGGACGAACCCAGAGTCCCCATATTCCTACAGAACCCCCAGTTCTTGGAGAAGCGCGTCACCGAAGGAGAGATTTCAGATCCTGGAGGGTCAAACCCTGGCAGCTGTGTCCCGCCTGAGGGCCAGCAGGTTGCGGTCTCTGTTTCACGCCCTCAGTTCTGTCGTCAGGGCCCTTGTTCAGTTTGCAGGCTGCTTCTGGCCCGAGTGCTACACCTGCTGTTTGCTTTCCGGTTCCCTTTGCCTTTCCTTGAGTAGCTTAAGAGCTCTAGATGGAGGCCCCAACTCCGGTTCTGGTCCATACTCCCTCGCATAACAAACGCGGTCTTGCTGGGGCCGCGGACCGTCTCAGGCCCGTTTGTGCGACGGCCTGCACCTCTGGGCACTGCCATAGACATGCTTTACTTGAGCTGTGAGCGTCTGCTCCCTCGTCTGGGTCGTGAGGACCTGGAGAAGGCTGGGCAGCAGACAGAGAATAGAGACAAACAGGAAGCCCGTAATCCGGAGGCTCCATGACATTCCAATTTTTGACGAGAGGTTGTGTGGGTCCAGAGTGGGCAGGCGGGAGCCGCCACGGAATGGAGGGTCTTAGCCAGACCATTCATGCGTGTCCCCAGGCAGCCCTGGGTGGTCGGGCACGGAGCTGGCTCTCTGCTCGTGATGGACAAGGGGCATCTCGAATTGGTGGGTTCATGGGGACAGCTGATTAAGAAAGGAAATGGCCCGTTTGTGGGAGAATGTGTTAGAGACCCTGCTTTGCCCTTGGTTTGCTCTTCAGAAAACGCTGGAGTTAAATGACGGATGGGTTTCTCATTGGAAGGTCGCTTAGGTGGGAAGAGCCCACCGAGGAGGGGGGACTGCGAAAGTGCTCTTTCCTGCCCAGGGCATCCTTAGGTTTCAGACTTGATCTCATCCTTGGCCACATTCTCATTAGGTCCTATGTGGTTACCTGCTCTAGCTTCTGAAAAACGTAAGAGTTGATTCTCCTCATCTGTGATCCCAAATCCCTACCAGGTAAACCTTTAAATCCAGGGCAAAGCTCTTAACCAGACAAGCTTCCCCCATCTCTCTCCAACGGAGAGATGAAATGGAGTGGCTGTAGCCGTAACAAATCTGAAGGAAAAGCGCGTTCCCCTGCGATGGTCCTCCTCCCGTGTGGCTGGTGGGTGAGTGAAGCCCCGCCCACAGTGGGAATCACCAGGCAGCGGAAGGTGAGGAGGGGTTCCATTCAGATCAACTGGAAACCCCAAAGCAATAAGGGTTACTTGAAGACTTAAAGCTGACCATGTGATGTTTGGAGTAGGGGAGATCATAAAAGTCCTGCTGTAAAAGACTGTGAAAGAGTGAAAACAATATACTAGTGATGTATTAGGATTCCCGCCTCCCCATTCCCACCGCTACCTTTTGGACCTTGACAAATAACCCATTTCTGGTTTTATTATAGTCTTAAACCACATCTTTCTTCATCAGCTCCTTTGACCAATTCCAGTCTCATCTGTCCTTCCAAGGATGTAAGGAATAAGCTGGATGAAACAGACATAGTCTTGGTTTTTCCCAGGAAGTAAATGCGCTTTCATTGATCCTGTACAGCAACTATCCTCTCGAGGTCCTGTATTTACGTTTCATTTTAACCTATCGGGTCTAGTGTCAGTGCCACTAAGAGGGAGCCCCAGCCTCAGACACCAAAGGGAAAGTCCCATCTAAGGATGAAGGCAAAGCTGAGAGGGTAGCCAGGTGTCCAGGCTGGGCTCCCCTTGCACGCACTTCAGGGTTTCTCAAAACTTGACGTCTTCTCTTTGATCCCCCTGAAGTTGTTATGAGTTACAGTGAGGGGAGTTAGGATACTTGCAGAGGGGACCGATTAGGGGACAGGAGTGAAGGGGAAAGGGAGGAGGTTGTCTCCATCCCTCCTGGCTCAGGGCACTAGAGGGGCGATGTGATGTGGGAAGAGAGCCGGTTCTTAGAGATTTAAAGGGATTGCAGGCTAGTTTGAGAGAGAGGTGCTCCTGGGGACTTGAAAAAGCCACAGCCTTGGCCTTGATCCCTTGGTGAGAAGTGAATCTGAAAAGGAATTTATGTGGTGGGTCCCCCTGAATTTCTGCAGTGACCTCAGCTTTGGTGCAGAAGGGAGCACCAGGGGTGACTAGACTCCAAGAGGTGGTCGGAGCTCCCAGAATTTGGTCATAAGAGACATGGGTCACCCCTAAGGGCTGTTGGGAGACTCAGAAGTCTACTAGGGAGAACAGAAAGGTTTGGGGACAAGACAAGGTCTACCACCTGATCAGAGCTCCAAACGAAGCAGCTGTCCAAAGGGCTGGGCGGAGGGACTAGATTTGGTCCAGCCCGAGGAGTGGAGGCTGGGGAGGCCGGAGACAGACCTGGGACATGCCCTGGGATGCTGGAGGCCAGCACACACCTTCGGCGGCACAGACGAAATCTACAGCACGGAGACAGGTGAAAAAGGAAGTAGTCCCTTAGGAAGGGAACCCTTACACCACCTCCCCACCTCCAACAGGCAGCACCCCCACTGCCAGTTAAGCAGGGAATATTGAAGGGACAACTCCAAGGTTTGAAGAGTTGGAGTCTAGAGACCAGGCCAGTGACGGCTGAGATGATCAGAAGTGGTTGGGACCAGTCTACAGAAAGGACTCTGCAGAAGGAGCTGCAGAGTTTTCAGTCTTATTTTGTCCTGTGTTATTGAATGAGGTCAGCTGGATATAGATCTCTAGGTTGGCTTGTTGTGTGACATTCTCCTGGCTTCTCTTGTCGCTGTTGGCCTCTGTTGATCTAGGGGTCATTTCTCTGTAGGCCACCTCCCTTTTCTGTGAATTTGCTTTTAAAATACTTGTCCTGGAAGCCACGT